CTACTCACTACCATCTTACAATCAACTACAGCATACGGACAAGGCCAATCGCAACAACTCCTTACAACGTCTTCATAGTAGAGCTGCCAACCCCCGAGCCTTCTATGAACAAGACGACCGATCTCCACCTCAAAACAAGCAAAGAGAAACAACTCCCACACCACAACATCTGAATCCGATCACTCGAATCTTTTTTTCTCTCTTCTTCTCCTGCGAGCTGCCGCCAGCCGCCTGGCGAGCACCGGGAAGTCCATCCGATTGGAGTAAGGCCAAGGGCAAAACTCGGCCATGCCACACCGTGGCGTTTATACACACCACCCCGTCGAACTCAAACGTACGATCAAGAATCAACAGTAGAGAAATCGATGGCCTGATCATTCGGCCGGTCTTGTCTTTTGACTGTCATGGGTGGCATGGACTGGCCGGCAGAGCCTGGTGGCTGTTATCTCACTGGCAGGCTATGGTAGATTGCGGCAAACCGCAAACGTGATATCAAACGCTGGGTACCACCAATCCGGTTCTTGGAACCGGTTGCTTGAGCGGTAGGTCCCATACCGAGTGGCAGTGTCGGAGTGGCAGCCGGACTTCATGTCTATCTGGCTCTAGCTCTGCGATTATTCTGCCTCGGTGATGGATAGGTGGTGGTGGCTGGAGCTTTTGTCGAATGGAGCTGTGGAGGTCTTGCTAAGTTGTCAAAACTTCACCTTTACTACACGAAAACACCCTTTGTCAGCTTGTGTAAGACATGACAGCTAACAGCTTTAAGACAGTTTTGAGCCAACTGCGGCATTCTGACATCTCTTTGGAGATAAAAGAAGCGAACTGAACTCTTCAAAAAAGACAGATCACAAACTACGGATGCTACCGCTTACCGCAACTCGCTACCATGGTGGAGTTCTCGTGGGCCGTCTGCAGAGCTCGACTCCAACCCCAACCCCTTCACCATCATCGTACTCGTTGCGTTCCTGGAGGCATAGAGCTTATAGGTTGATGTCTGCCTTACCGCTTGTCGGCTGCAGCAACATGGGGATGATGAGGGGAAGGGGGACCTACAGCTAGCATAATATGGCTGCATGTTACATCCCGGAACCCGGTCCCGGAGTTATCCATGATGGTTCGCCAGATGCGAACAGACCCTGAGCCCGCTTACCGACCCGCCCCCCGATGTCCTTGTTGCCCGAGGACCAAGACATTCACGGCGCGGTAATGCCCCACCTACGCCGTCCACACCCCGGATAGGCATGGGGGCTCCCTACAAATTTCCCAAGCTAGGTAGCCATAACACGTGCCTGAACCCTTCCGAGGATTGTAGGCAGCTAAGCTCGCTAAGCATTCCCCGGTCCTAATCCCCCCGATCTCAGACATAACAAGGGCATCGAGGGTTGCTTAGGTCCCCTATCACACCGATGACCCACACGCGATATCGATTTCACACGTGCAAATGTCCCTAAGCGTCTCGTCTAGCAGTCAATTCGAGGTCGGGAAAAGAGAGATCCGGCTTGGAAATCACACCAGTTCCCATCTCCTTTTGACCATTACTATTTTCAAGTTAAACTACCGCTTTATTTTATCTATAGCAGATATGATCTTGATCCACTCTTGGACTATGAGCATATCCTATTGGGTAGCTCAAGGGTAGGTGCTGCATATGCAGTTGAAAGGGAGCTAAAACTGCCCACATAAGCAGTGACTATCCCCTTTTGAGGATATCTGCTATGGATGAGTAGAAGCGGTAGCATCGTGAGAAAACTCCGGTGACAGCGGTGTTAATCCCGGGGTGTCAAGGTATGAGACAAGAACCGAGAGATGTCATATCAAGCTCTTATTAGAGACATCAGGGTCCACTCTCACTTGAGATGTGAAATATAGGGGGAAGTTAAGAAGATGAGCTGGAGGAACTAAAACGAGGAGTAAACTACAAGTCCGCGGAGAAAGAGCTCGAGGTTGAAGATATGGACCGCTATTCCCAAGTTGGCTAATTGTCCCGCTTATACGTGCTTGGCAAGCTCACACTTGGATCTTACGCTCGATGTGATTTCACGATTCGAATGAATCCTTCAATGACACCTAAGATCCAGATAGCCGGTCATTGGTCAAATCCTTGTTTGGACGCGGGAAAGAACCATGCCTCCTGATTCTTTCAGAGTGTGATTGATCAACGCCACTTTCCCTCAATGGTGGCCGATGTCTCCAGCTAACTTTCACACTTGGCAGAGTTCGCAGTTCGTGCAAATTAATGCACTAAATCTTCTTTTGTCAACATCAATAAAATACCGCTAGTTCTGGTGAGCTACGCACTGTGGTACAGCTCTGATTAACCAAGCTAATGTGTGAGCTAAGTGCGAACTAAGATAGGCGAACATCAAAAATGTCTTAGATACCTACCCTTTGACCGCAGATGGAACTTGGATCTTACCGCAGTACATCTCCATGTCAAGAAATTGACTTGTCATTTTTACTTTGGGTCAATGCTTTCCTTTGATGTCTTGATCGAGCAGCGAGACTTGCCTGCCGGAGATGTAAGGCATTTGAACTGTACGCTTACTTCCTCCCTTCTCCTAAAGGTATCTAACTTCTTTTCACATCTCTAGGTGCAGTTGGTACTGACCGAAGGCACCGAATGACCGCCAAGATGCATGGCAGCATTTAGTAGGCATGTAGATTGGTACACTGACAGTAGTATGTCACTCTGAGCGTAGCCTCGCTTGCTCGTTGCTTTTTACGGAGGAGAAGGCTTCTGTTCCGGATGCTGGATGATGAGACAAGCACCCGACGACTCGGTCACATGCCATCGCAGGTAATGAGTTTGGTTGTTGCACTTGTTGGTGAGTAAGACATTGACAGCGACTACCTACTAACTCCTCAGCTTCAATGGGTGGTCGTAGAGCGGGATATGGATATTGAGCTGGGTGTGGCTATTGAGCTGGCTGTGGCTGATGAGCTAGCTACCTCTGGATACCTCTATGGAGATGGATATATCACGAGCTTGAAGAGTTGGTGAACAGCCAGCTACGCCCTAAAGAGCCATTGTTGTAGGTGTGACAGGAAATTGTCACTCACGACATTGCATACCTCCATATGATCTGCGTGATCTGAGACTCCAGAGCCGCATATACGAAATCTAAGTACGGATAGCAAGTTACCTCTACTCTATGTGGGTCAAGTCCGAGCTTACCAAGCCTACCTCTACCATAGTAGCCTAGCGGCTGGCGGCGGGCGCCCTGAGAGCCAGCCTGTTGGGAGCTTGGTGGGCTACCTACCTGGTAGTGATAGTGGCACGATGGGCTTGATCCGATGAGGAGGGTTAGAGCGGTAAGCTTCCGTCGTTCCGAGGAGAAAGAATAACAACAGCAACCCGGGCAGATTATCTTCATGATAGTAGATCCCCCAAAAAAATGGTTCGATGATGATGCGATAATGGCATCAAAGTGCTGGAGAGAGAAAGATCCAAGGAACGGATGACAGGGACAGGGCAGCTTGGAAGGTCAGGCAGAGTGTGCAAGGAGGAGGTAACGATACTTTGGAATTGTCAGTGCAAAGAACAGCTCATATGGCTCATATTGAGGGCATTCAGATGGAGCAAGAACCAAGGCTAGAGGCACAAAGGCTGAGGAATGCAACAGCAGCAGCCCTCATGGCCGCATGGATAATGGAGGGGAAGAAACACGTCAAGGCAAGGCAGGCAACACAAATGCAGTAAAGCAAGGATAGAGGTAGAAAGGGGATACAAGGACAAGGCAACGAGAAAGACATAGAGGCGGTGTCAAAATAGGTGACACGACTTTGGATACACAAATGTCAATGGATGAGTGCGTGATCGAGTGCTATGGTTCTGCATATACGATGGTGATCCTGTGTAAGATGGTGTAGAGGCCGTGTAGAGGGCTTTGAATCTCTATGATAGCTCACGGAGTACAAACTACACGGCGCCAACCACAGTCGCACAAATGTCATACCCTCAAGCAATGGCAGAAGGAAAGATGAAACTGCAGACGCCAGGTACAGTGGTCTGATGGTAACAGATACCGTGGAGATGACAACAACCTGCTGCAGACACACAACTCTCCGTATAATTCGATTTGTAACTGATGTGTTGTGACAAGGGCAGTATTCT